TTAGGAATGTCACCTGGGCGTTGCTGTGGAAAGCAACACCAAGAGCCCTTCACACACCTGCCCTGGGAAGCAGTGGCAGCCCAGCCCTGAGCTGAGCACAGAAACAGCTGCTGCCAGCTTGCTGGGCAGGGACAACAGGCTCACAGAAGGTACGGGTGTCATTGCACTGCATAATAAAGGCAGCCGGAGCTGGGGTCACACTTCCAGGACCAATCTCCGGCTGCTAGAGAGAAATGGTCCTTAGGGACCACCTGCAACCAGCCACCTTATTTTTCGGAAAATGAAATCTGAGGCCAAGAGAGGGGGAAATGTCTGGCCCAGAATCACACAGGACCCACTAGAATGAGAGCCCAGGCTGTCCGCCATTCCAGTCCATGTTTCCCACTCTCCAACTCCACACCAACATTTGGGATACTAATTTTTAATCAGGGTCATTTTGCCACCCAAGGGGTACTTGGCAGTGTCAGGAGACATTTGTGGTTGTCTCAACCGGAGAGGAGAGTGGGGTAGAAGGCAAGGATGCAGCTAAAGCTCCTACAGTGCAAAACTTACTGGATCCAAAATGTCCATAGTGCCCAGATTGAGAAACCCTGGTTTAGAAGCACTACCTCCAGGAAGCCATCCCTGCTTTCTCCTGCTGAGAATCATCTCTCCAGAGAAAATTATTAACACCAGAAAACTGGCCAAGTCAGGCTGCTGAACCCCCGCAGAACTTTAGCAATTCCTCTGATACTGAGAAAAGCACACTTTGTATTAGATTAGAAGGTCATATAATTCAGTCAAGTTTGTGGATTCTGGAGTCTAAAGCCCTGAGTTCAAATTCTGGCTACCCATTTCCTAGCTATGTGACTTTGGACAAGTTACTTAAACAGTCAAAGCCTCAATTGCTTTATCTGTAAAATGGGAGTGAGGGTGATAATATTCCTGCTTCAGAGAATTATTGTGAGCATATCATTAGTTAATCCATAGAATGCACTCAATATATAATTAATCCAATTATATATGAATTAATCTTGCCCCTAACTACACTATGGTCTCTGTCAAGTAATGAGTCAATAGTCTCATTCCCCTACCACATTACCTAACACGTGACACTGCAAATTATAAGTGTTCATTTTTTTTTTAAGAATGTAGGCAGATGAGAAATGTCAAGAGTAATGTTACTTTGGCCCCCTAGATTATGGTCATACCCATAAAAGGGAATCTCCTTCAGGCATAGCCTTGCTCAGTGCCTTTAAGAAGCTACCTACACACACACACACACACACACACACACACACACACATAGACACACACCAAAGACACTTCCTGGTGTAACTCCCACCTTGTGTGATCACTGGGACACAAACACTCTTAAGTAGAATTTATAGCAAGGTTTAGCAATATCATCACTACTGACATTTTGGGCTAGTTAATTTTATGTTGTGGGGTGCTTTCCTGTGCATTCTAAGATGTTTAGCAGAATTCCTGGCCTCTACTTATTAAATTCCATTAGCATACAAAATAAACCCCATAGGGACAACAACAAAAATCTCTCCAAACATTGCAAAATGTCCCCTAGCAGGCAAAACTCCCCGCATTTAAGAGCTAGTGATCTTGCTCAGCCAGAATGGCTCAGTTTGTTGAGTATCATCCTGTGCATTGAAGGTTGCCAGTTCCATTCCCAATCAGGGCACATAACAGAGTTGTGGGTTCAATCCCCAGTCAGAAAGCATACAGAAGGCAACTGGTCAATGTTTCTCTCATCTCTCTTTCTCCCTCTCTTTCTCTCTCTCTCTCTCCCCCTCTCCCTCTCCCTCTCTCCCTCTCTCCCTCTCACTAATCGTGGTTCCGTCACATCCACAATGACTGGAAGTTCAACCAACCAGAAGTCAGTCCTGCAGTCAGTGCTGGGTTGCCATAGTAACATAACACTGATTGCTGATGGGGCTGTAAATCAGGCCCAGAGAGAGGCCTGAAGAGAGAAGCAGGGTCTAATCCATAGCCTCTGTGGCAGCTGTTGATCAGCACTTACCTCTCTCTCCAGGCCTCCTCCAGGGCTGCTGATCAGCCCTACCTTTCTGATCAGACCCTGTTGATAGGCCCAAAGATGCTGACTGGCATAGAAACCAACCAATCAGAACCACATATGGGTGAAGTGTAAGGAGCCAATGGCTACCTAGAAGGTGGAGCCTTTGACGATGACTGGCATAGAAACCAACCAATCAAAACCAAATTGGCCAGCAGAAGAAGGCAATTGGGAGTGAGAACAGGCCTGCAGGGAACAGCAGTTGGAGGCAAAGTCAGGCTGGCAGGGGAGGGCCATTGGGGATGAGATCAGGCCAGTAAGGGAGGGCAGTTGGGGATGATTGGGCCAGCAGGGGAGAGCAGTTAGGTGTTAATCAGGCCATGAGGGGAGCAGTTAGGGGGTGATCAGGCTGGCAGGCAGAAGTGGTTAGGGACAATCAGGCAAGCAGGCAGGTGAGCAGTTAGGAGCCAGCAGTTCTGGATTGTGAGAGGGATGTATCCCAGTTTACACAGGGATTGGACCCAAACCAGCAGTCAGTCATCCCCATGGGGTTCCAGATTGGAGAGGGTACAGGCTGGGCTGAGAGATGCAAACCCACCCCACCACCCATGCATGAATTTTGTGCTCTGGGATTCTAGTAAAATATAAAAGAACTACTGGTCTTAGCCATAAATTCTCAGGTGGGATTATATCATCCCCAATGAGGCAAAAATTGGTTCTTAGGATACAAAAAAAAAAAAAAATCTTATCTTTTTATGTGTAAAGCATAGATATACATATAATACACAAACAGATATGCAGTATACTGTGGTAATAAAATTTATAAATGGAGGCAATTAAGGAAGAAAATAAAACACTCTAAAAATGTTCCTGGAATAATAATGAAAAAAGAGTGAGAAACACTGCACAGGCAATTCATCTTTTGTAGGGTGTTGTCAACTGAATAAACGCATATGTTACTAAATACCTAGTAATAATAATATCTTCCAAGCTCTGTGCTAAGCCCTGTGCCCATTCACTCAGGGAAGCCATTGCTTCTGTAACCAGTTTACAGTGCGAGCTTTGAGGTCTTGACAGCCCTGGGAAGACAGAGCCAGGACTCCAAGGCAAATCTATGTGACTACAAAGAGCTCCTGTGACCTACTTAGTCATGGAGCCCTTTCCACTTGCTCACTCATATCCAGGACTTTCCTTGAGGCACACTGTGGTTTTAGGACTTTGAGATGATAACAACGGCTGATAATTATGGACTGACTTCTCTTAGCTAGGTACCGGTGTTAACTCATGCCCTACTCCTAGCAACCCTATAAGATATATTCTATTACTGTTGCCTTTCTATAGATGAGGGAACTAAGACCCATAGAGGCTTTGTCACTTGCTCAAGGTCACACCACCAACAGGCAGAGCTGGGACTTGAATCCTGGCAGTGTGGATCCAGAGCCCATAGCATGGCCACCTCCCTGCCATCCCCACAGCTTCTTTCTTTACAGGCACTCAAGGATCCAGAGGACTTCGGAATTTCTCAAAATAATGTCACCTCATTGTAGCTCTTGTCTTCCCATGGTGGGGAGTGTTCGTGTCCTGTCTGTCCATCCACACCCTGTTCAGGAAAGCAGGGAAGGCCAGAAAGTGGTAAGGAAATGTAGAAAGGCAGGTTGGACAGATGGGAGGAAAAACAAAGGAGACGAAATGAGTGAGGGCACGGGGCAGAGGGGTGGAGAATGGGGAGAAGGGAAGCCTGGAATGAATGGAAAGAAAATACAAGAAAGGAAGTTAGGACTAGGAGCAGGAGCTCAGATACTGGGAAGAGAAGGGAGGACAGAAGAGGGAGCAGCAAGGCTGAGCTATTTTTAAGAATCTGAGTGTCACTGATTTGCATATTTAGCATCTCTTTGCATATTGAGGTCAGAAGGTCCCAACTCCTCATGTGAGAAGGAATAGGAATTCATTAGTGCAGCTTTCTAGAAGACTGTTCAAGTACACTTGCTGGGCTCTTTTCTAATGAAGGAAAAGGCAGTAGAGGGGAAGATCTGATCCATCGTCCTGCAAGGGTGTCACATTGCTAAAGGTGGGATCATTGAATCCTGAGTGAATGCCAGCAGGATACCCACACTGTTCCCACTCATGGCATTTCCCTTGGCAGGTGGTATGTCAGATTCCCCAACCACAAAAGGAAGGGAACTGGGCAGCGAGCTCTCGAAGAAGCCTGATCGAGTTAATTCATAGAAAGAGCTCAAACCTCAAAAGAGGATGGAGTCAAAGGAAGTTAAAGGAAAATGGTTGACAAGGCATCTCAGATACCAAACTCTATGTCCTGAATTTTTGGGTGCAAAAAAATAAAGGAAAGAGAAAAGGAAGGGAGGGAGAGAAGGAGACTGGGAGAGAGAGAAGGAAGGAGGAAGGAAGGTTGGCTTCCAAACTTACATGTTTTTTGCTTGCATTATCCTCAAGCTGCCATATGAAGTAGATACACAGAGAATCCCAATTTGTAGATTGGAAAACAGGCTTGACTTGCCTGTTATTTGCTCACAGTATTAGCGCAGGCCTGTGATTTGAACCCAGGACTATGACATTATACTGACCCACCAAGCATACAAGGACAAGCAATCAAGGGGAGTTTGGGCACATGGGATAAGAACCAGAATAAGAGAAGCCTCTCATGACCCAAATTGTCTCTCCCCCTTTCTCTCCAGTCTCTTCCCCTATGCATCTTTTCTGTTAGCTCAGAGCAAACCAGTTTGGAGAGTCACTTAGGGCTCCCCGGTGCCCCCCAAACCTTTTGGCTTACATGCCAATTTGCTTTGTCACAATAAGAACTCTGACCCCAACTCGGTATTTCAAGTCCCACCACAACTAACCTATTTAGTTTCAGTGTCACTAAGTTCCAGTGCTCCACAGACAAGATGCAGTGCACACAGCGCAGCCTCTGAACTGCTCCCCTTGGAAGGCCCCTGAGATGTCCATGCCTGGTCCATTGAGGTGTGGCCTGGAGAAACAAGAGCAGGGAGCACAAACAGAAAATTTAGATGCCAGGGCTTACCAGGATGAGTAGAAGGGATGCAATGCGGAGCAATGATTGGCTTCTCCAGGAGGTCACTCTCAAAGATGGTGACCTCTGTTCAGGGCAGTCTTTGCTAAAAGGTGATTATAGTGTCCATACTCAAGCTGAGCTAAAAGAGAGAGTAGGCAGAAAGGACAAAAGAACCTTGACAGAAGGACTAGGTGACTGCCCACATGGGAAAACGGGAAGAACACTCTAGAGCCCTCACCGGAAAATATCTCCTCTGCCTGCCCACCTAGTGCCTGGAGATCTGCCATTAAAGATCCCTGTGGAACCTCATTCAAATCATGCAACCTCCCTCTGCAGGAAAAGCATAAAGGGCAGCCCTAGACACTTTGCTCTGATGAGTGGCTAGGAAGGGCTATTAGGTGATTGTGGGCATGCACGTGAGTGTTGGCAGTAACTGCTAGTTGTCTCCCCAGTGTCCATTCTCCCCTTCTCCTAAACAGCTGTCTTATCTGGGCACATGGCCACCCAGCTAAAAACCAGCTTGCCCAATCTTCCTTGCAGCTAGTTGTGAGTTGAGGCCAACACAATGAGAACAGAAGCAATAGTCACATTCTTGAAGGGAAACTGCAAGCTTTGCCTTCTCTCCACTCCTGCTTACTGGTGGGATTCGTGTAGGAGATGAGCTGAATCAGCCACCTAAGGCTTAACAATGGACATGCATTTTGTGGATGGCAGAGCAACAAGACACAAAGTGTCAGGTCCCCAGAGCTGTAAGACCCTCCTGTCAGCACTGATTGCTGGTGCTTGCATTGTTAGATGGATGATATAAAAATTCCTGGCCAGGCAGTATTATTAGCAAGGAAAGACCTGGGCCAGGTGACAGCTCTGACCCCAGCTCAGAATACAATGTTCAAAAGCACCTGCTACCTCTGCTAGGGAGACTTTATTTTCTGATCCCCAAATCTGGACCCATTGTTAAGCAAGGATTTGAAGGCCTCTTTGGGGAACAAGAAGCATACTAGGAGATATAGTCTGCATGATAAAATGACAGTATTTGTGGAATGTTTCAAACAAAGACAAGAACACTGTGACTTAGATGCTGAGTTACACACACCAAAAAAAAATAAAAATAAAAATAAAAAAATAAAAATAAAAAGATGTGCAATATTTTATTTAGGAGATGCTCATAATCCCAATTCTTCCATTTGTCTTTCACCCCACCACCTAACACATTGAAGGTACTTATCTGGACCATAAAAGTATTAAAGTTTACAACCTCCAGTGTAAACGAATCAAAGTAGAAAACGTCCCCAAAGGAGAGGCTAGGCTACAAGAACTCCAGCGTAGACTTGACCATGAATTGTCCAGCTCAGTCTACAATGACAGATTCTCCAACCATCTCCATGTCTCCCCCTCAAAGACTAAATATGTAAAGCACCAAGGAAAGAGTGTCTCTTTGGCTGCAGTCAGACATATGCACACCCCTGGCTTTTTCTAAGAGCAGAGAATGGATAACTGGACCTCCTTAGTTTCCCTGGGAAAGAAGGTGAACCCTGGGAATCAATAGCCCATCAAAACCCACACACATGGTGATGGAGGGGTTACTGTGCTATGAAGACTGGGGGCATGGTCTTGGGAAAAGCCGCAGGTGGTCCAGGAAATGAAAATAAACCCTCTATTTTAAGCCACCTCACCCCCTCAAGAAATAAAAGTGAAATCAAATAAAACAAGAGATGAAAAATGAAACCCCGGAGAGAAGCCCTGGAGCCAAGCAAATGCCTTTCCCACAGAGATATGATCACCAATGGCCTAATCTGATTTTCTAGCAATGCCTGTGAGTCAGTAAATGAGGAGGGGTTGGCATTGTTAGGACACAGGTCACGGGAGAACATCCTCAGGGTATGACCTCTGGAGGAAAGCCTTGAAAGAGGGGGTTGTGGTAAATCCCCACATGTCAAAGCCAAGGCAGGAATGGTCTGTTAAGGGAACAGAACTGGGTACAGTGGTCTGTTCTAGCTATTTTCCCAAACTATACACTCTCTGGCAAGATTCCACAGTGCCCTGTCTCCACCTGGACCTCGTAGGTTATGTCAAGAAGTGTAGTTTATCTTACTATACACCCGAATGCCACTCAGTTGTTCCTGCAGACAGAGGGACCATGTTTCCTGTCAGTACCATCTGGCCACCTGCTATGCTTCTCAGTAATGCCTCCTAAAAATACCCTTCTCCAGTATCCCCTGTGAATTTAACAAAATAAAGAGAAAAAGCAGAGTTAATCTGCTCAGATTGGCTTTCCATCGAGGGAGACTTTTGTAATGTGAGATAGGGTGGGAAAGCAGAAGCTTTGGAGACAGATTTGGATTAGAATAAAAATAAGTATTTTTATCATTATAGCTAAAATGTATTATTAGCATGTGCTGGCCACTGTTACCGTTACCTTGTATGGACTACCTCATTTAATATTCTCAGTAACATTCTGAGTTAAGGATCAGTATGATCTCCATTTTGCAGATAAGGAGGCTGACACATAAGAAATTTCAGCAAGAAAATGGCAGATTTGGTCTGATTCCAGAATCAAACTTGCAACCATTCTGCAAAGTCGCCTCTGAGTGAATGTTAGTGCCTTCCCCCTCTCTCAGATTCTCAGTTCAGACAGACTGGAGCATGAGGCAACTGGACAGGTGGGGAAGGAAAGAAAGATAAAATTTGAGAGGATAAAGGGATGGGAAACCAACAGCCTAGTTGTCCTAAGGACAATCAAACGACATGCAGCATGTGGTCAGGGGGCAGTCTAGGCAGCCACTATGAAGACCCTATGAGGCAGCAGACACTTCTCCAAACTATGCAGCTCCAAATCTTCAGGGAGGCAAGCTGTCAGGGAAATCAAGAAAGACTCCAACCCCAGAATACAAAGAAAGAGAGAAGGAGGGAAGGAAGGAAAGAGGGGAAGAAGGAAAGAAGGGGAAGGGAAGGAAGAAAATTAATAGGTGATAGATAAATAGATATGCTAGATATTGATTGGTAGATAAATAATAACTAGATGGATAATTAATAAGTCATGATAGATAATAGATGACAAATGTATAGATACTAAATAAATTATAGCTAGGTAAATAATAAATAAGAGATAATTATAATAATAATAAATAATAAATAATAAATAAATAATAAATAATAAATAAGAGATAAATGGATGGATAGATAGATAGATAGATAGATAGATGATAGATAGATATTGGATCAGCATGCTATATTAGATGCTTAGCCAGAGAGACACATCCATCTATAAGGTATGAGTAGGTGGACATGTGGATGACATGGGCTGATATAGTATTACTATGTACCAGACCCCTGGCAGAGTGTGGACTGAGGCTGTTGATATGCCTGACCTGGTCAGGGTGACTTCTGAAACTTGGTCTGGGCCTAGTCTCCTGACAGATACATGGTGACTCCAGTCAAGGAGGGCTTAGCTAGTGTGAAAATCTACTTTCCCGCTCCTTATCACTTCTGTGTTCAGTGTGTGGCTCCAGTCACTTCTCTGGGCTTCAGGTCATCATTGCTGTCATCATTCACACTTACTGAGCATTCACTCTGTGCGTGCTTCAAAATGTCTCACCTCTGTTTTTCATTAAACTATCACAACAGGCATATGCCCTTTTAGGTTCTCGGGCTGCCTTGTTCCACTGTCCATCTCTCTCCCTACCACAGCATCCTTGGAGGGCACACGGTTCAGAAAGGAAGGAGAAAAAAATGGCCCAACCTCCTTCAGCCTTTAAAAAAAGTGAGAAATTAACTTTCATTGTGTTGAGTCACTTCGGATTAAGGATTAATTTGATATGTCAGCTTTGCCTGACTAATACACTACTCATAGCCTCATAGGTTTGTTATGGGAAATGAATTTATGCATGTAAAGGATTTGTAATCTTTTTTTAGAAAATCTCATTGAATATTTTATGAATAAAAGTCAGTAAGTTGCTTATGGGTGGGTTTTGAAGATTGACGTGTGGGTTAAATGACTGCTGGAACCTGGCTGTCAGTGAGCTTTTAGTGAATGTGATTTTCTTTGCTATCAATTTGTACCATGCCATTGCTACTATTACCATTAAATAAGGCAGACACAGCACTTTCTACTCTTAAGGCAATAATGCTGGTTGGAAAGAAAAATCCATCTATCATGGAACCAACCTCCATGGAGCTGCTGAACTCTAAGAGTGAGCTGTGTGGGTCTTTGAGTGAATACAAATGTGAGTAAACAAATGCAAACACTAACAAAGGGTATGAATAAACACTTCCAGAAGCATAAGTAAAGTCAGAGAGGTATGATTTCAATCAGTGGATCCCTGCCTTCTTGTTTCTCCTTTCTTTTCTTTTTTCCTTTCTTAATATATTTTTATTGATTTCAGAGAGGAAAGGAGAGGGAGAGAGAAAGAGAGATTAAAACATCAATGAGGCCCTGGCAGGTTTGGCTCAGTGGATAGAGCAACGGCCTGCGGACTCAGGGGTGCCAGTTTCAATTCTGGTGAAGGGCATGTACCTTGGTTGCAGGCACATCCCTGGTGTTGTGCGGGGGGGGGAAGTACAGAATGCAGCTGATTGATGTTTCTCTTTCATCAATGTTTCTGGCTTTCTATCCCTCTCCTTTCCTCTCTGTAATAAAAAAAAAAGAAACAAATAAAATATATTAAAGAAAGAAAGAAACATCAATGAGGAAAGAGAATCACTGATTGGCTGCTTCTTGAATGTCCCATAATAGGGCTTGAGCCCGCAACCCCAGGCACGTGCCCTTGACCAGAATCAAACCTGGAACCCTTTAGTCTGCAGGCTGATGCTCTATCTGCTGAGCCAAACCAGCTTGGGCTTGTTTCTCCTTTCTTCATCATTCTGGGATCAAACAATCACTTGGATATAAATCTGAATTTATTGCTCAGTGCATTGACTGAAAGACCCTCCTTCTATCCTATGAGTTGGATACCATCTTCTTTTTTTTTTTTTTTTTTTTTTTTTTTTTTACTTAACAACTATAGCAATGGACCAGTGTGGCCAACATGCATGTTGAAATTTCATTCCATAGTCTTACTAATTTAGAGGATATGTAATCTTGTCTGATGTGTAGCAAGCTATTTTAATATCATTCTTAGATGACAGAATGCTGGCACTGAT